TGGTGCTTCAAGCCATCCCTATATCCCCCTTTCATTTTGAAGAAATGATTTTTCCACTTGTACGCGTATGCAGCAGAGCGACGTTGCACCATACGCATGCTCGTGAAAAATTGAATGCGCGCATGCCTAGCTGCCCTTATGGGGGGCTTAATTGGGACGCGCACGAAAGCCTGGCTAACAGAACAAAAATGTTGTGGACAAAGATTTAAGGATGAGGATAAAAAGACACACAACTATAATATGCAAAGTAAAATTAGTTTCTCTGTTGACTCAGAACGCCTCATTCTGTGGAGAGAGGGATGACTGTTGCCATCTTATCTGGCTCTTCGTAGATATTTCCTTCATCTTCCCCTCCCTCTCTCCCCCTCCTCTTCCTCACACATCTCCCGACTGCCTGGGACAGCAGTACCACACCCACTGGTAGGAACACTAGTAGAGTGATTGTGAACGTAATGGCCACAGAACCTCCCAGTTGATAGAGTTCCACTACTGGCTTGCTCAGCTGTGCATTAGTGGATGAACTGTGAAATATAAGTGTTGCGTGGACCACACAGGATATTTACCTCTGTTTCATCAGGCGAGGAAAATTTAGTTGAAGATAATCATTACTCACCATATTGTAGGACAGAGAGAGTTTGAATGTTCTCTGGTCTTATTCAATGGTTTCACAGCATTACTGACCTGACTCTGTCTCCATGACAGAGAGAGTGACTGTCCCCTGAACCCCACTGGCAGAGCAGACATAGCTGCACACCACTGTCCTCTACACCTGCTCAGTAAGATGGTGACTGTCACATGCAGTCACCCCACAACCCCGCGACGGTAATATTGGAATAATCTCTTGTTTCTTGTATGTAAATCCCAAGTGTCTAGTAATGTATATAGCCATATGTTTTAGGAGAAAGGTAAATGCCATGGTAAAGAAGGCTTGTGTGTGCAGTAACCTGGAGACTATATATGCAAGTGCAAAGTATGACATAATTTAGCTGCCCATTGGTTCAGTAAATGAGCAGCTAATTGACGTGACGGTTAATGTATACAAGTAAAAAGCCAATGTGTGTCTCTGAAAAATCAATGATAGCTGTTTCAGTACGAACTCTCTTTAAAGGGAATGTGGCAGTATAAATTTAGAAATGTTACTAAAGATAGAGCAAAACAATTGGAACAGTGAAAGAATGCAATTGAGTTCTGTTTTTAGTAAAATTTCTATATTTAGCCCTTATATACTGCCACATTCCCATTAAATGCGCACATTCTTTGCTCCTACAGGTAGCACAACTCATATTGATATCAGAAAGTCTAAGAAAACAATAATATGTTATATGTATGTATATAGCTGTACATTAGCTACATCCTACTAAAACTGTCAAAAACATGTTAGTTAAAGTGCTAATATTAACGTGTTCATGGAGCATTTTCAAAATACTCATTTAGCAAGGCCTCAATCTCGGCCTCGATATGAGTGCGGTATTCAGCATTCCTGTCGGATCACATCCTTCCAGTTCAGTCGGCTCGTACTGGTACACTGAATCCAGGGCTGTATGTAGGATTACAAAACAAACTGTTGCTAAATAAAAGGACTGGTTTTGGTATATATATTATATATTTGTTACACTGAATAACACTTTTTCTGTACATCGTGCGCTGACAGCATGTACACACAAAGTCAGGCCCTCCTTTAGTTTCAGAATGGAATGTAGAAATGGCATGCTTGGTGCATAGCTAACTATATGCACTGTGACTCACATTGTACGACTACTGTCACAGTTGTGCTGGTAGAGTTGTCAAGGTTTGGAGGAGAGGTTCGACAGGTATAGTTCCCAGCCTGAGACCTCATGATGTTGGGGATATTCAGTAGTCCAGATGAAGACACCATCTGGCCATCTTTGTCGAACCACTGTGCAAGTGGTTCTCGGTTGGAGTTTGTGCTGTCACAGGAGAGGAACAGTGTGCCTCCCTCATTCACTGTAGTTGCTCCCATGATTATCGGAGGTAGATACACTGTACAATACAATACCATTTGAACATAACACTTACACAAACATGGGAGACATACCGTCCAAGAAAACTGAAGCCTGTCTTACATTCGAGCCACTAACACACCGCAAAATCAGGGAAGGAGATGCCTGGAACGTCATGCTAGTATCATCAATCACTAGAACTCCACCATCCAGGCTTGTGATTGGTGAGTTTCCAATTTGGAATGAGGGTGCGGGGTCAGTAACTACAACTCCACCGACAACACACTCCACACAGACAGTTCCTAGTGGAATATCTATCTGGTTCGTTGTACCAACAATCTGCACCGTGGCTGTACAGTCATCCACACTCTGAGAGATAGCTGAAAAAAGATCTCAATTTTATAAGTATAGCTACTATCTACTTTGTGAGGTTCAGTGGCGCCTGAAAATCGAGGCTCGCGATTGCCGACAATTCGACCGCTGGCATCTCTCAACTCACCGCTGCTAAACAGCGAGCATCCCGCAGCGAAGAATAGAAGTGGAAAACGCATTATTTGTCGGAGTTTTTCTTCCTCCCCGTAGAAACCGAACCGAATTATGATATTCAGTGCCTAGGTACGCGCAGGTTACGCATCATTACTACTAGGGTGGCCCATCGTGCGGTTTGTCTCCTCCACGTCAAGTATATAATTATAAGAAAATAGCATCAGTGGGGGTGGCTCCATTGATATCCCAAGAGAAATGTGGGAGCCTGTGTATGACAGTTAGCACTGTTACAGTAGCTAGCGATACCCTTGGGAGAACCTTTCGGTAGTAGAGCTTTCCACTCTAGGAGTAGGAATGTGGGCGTGGCCCCTATCATCCACGAATGCGGAGTGTCAAACCTGTGTGTCACACTGCTCCATGAATCAATTGTTAGCATTTTGTAATGGTTGCCAACTAACCTTGTTAGGTATCTGATAACAAATTAGCTATGCTTCAAAGTTGTTGCTGCTCTGTTATTAGCAACATGAACTTGTAACTAACACTTATGAGCAATATTCCTAGTTGGTCACAAATTAATGCACACCAGATATCACAGTGTGTGCACGGTTGCACGGGGTAAAATATATATATGTTATGTACTACGTGCGAGGGACATACCGGATTTCAATGAACCCGAGGGCCTCCGCGTTTGTAGTGTCCCGAGCGTAGCGAGGGCACTACGCAGAGGGCCTGAGGGTTCATTGAAATCCGGTATGTCCCGAGTATACGGAGTGCATAACATGTTTAGTGCAGAGCCCTAGCTAGCTCGCTCAAGCCACCTAGTCTGTTTCCATGGCACACAAAATTAAAAAACCAACCACACTGCATCGAGTCGAGTTTGCGCGGGGTAAAATATAAAGCACGGAGCAAATGCCTTTATACAAGTGCAAAGCAAAAGACTATCGGTTCTTCGTGAAAACTTTACACGGCAAGAATTGAATGCACATCCATATGGTGCTCAAAGAGGCACTAGGCATAAAATCGCATTAATTTTTGCTACTAATGCCTGTGCATCCATGTCCGTGCAAGCCCTTGCACTGTGGGATCACAGGCAGTTATGGCAAAATGCATTGCACATAAAAAAGAAGTGACACAGCAGTAGAGGTGCTCTAAATTTTTAGTTAAGCAGTTTCAGTGTTGATTGCCTTATCAAACTTGATAAGTAGAGGGACAAACCAAATGACCGTAATCTTAGCTGCACATGCACGATGGGATAAAAACACACATTATGCCATTGAAGATGGTAGCCTGGTGCTATATACTGAAACTATACACACTATGCTCCTGGTGTCCTCACTCAAATACACGCACGTTCTAAAATCTTCCGTACCATAAACCAAGAGAGATCAATTACAGTGTGCGAGTGTCACAGTTTGGCATACACACACATACATAATGAGTATCTTGCGAGGTTATTGTGCAAAATCAATGGCTATAGGGCTGATGATAGATGACAAAGAATGATACGTTGTGGCAATGCTGTACTCCTAACATGAAGCTGCTTACATTGCAACTCAGTGTGGCAACGAAAGTCGCAGTGGCTCTTTGCAGCGCTACTACTCGCGATCGGCAAGAAAGAAAGAAAAAAAAAGTTTACTTATTCACTCCTGAAGCCTTCTGGCGTTAGCTGTAGGAGAGAAGCAAACAAACTCCCCAGTTTTGTCACCATACATTATTTCTCAGATGTCGCGCAAATCTAGGCATTGTTCTATAGCTAATACAACCTCTCGCTCTATGAAGACAGTGGTGGTGGCAGGCTGACTGGAGAGACCACAAGAGTTGATGGCAGTCACTGACACACTGTAGCTGGTGTTGTATTCTGGTACAGTAATGGTGGCAGTGAAGACACCTTCACTATCATCATGGCTGACAGTCTGGGTCATCCCTCCTTCAACAGTCACTCTATATTCACTGATGGTCACTCCAGTGCCTCCAGTCATGGCTGGAGACCGCCACTGCACCACTGCTGATGTCTCAGTGTTGGCTGATACAACCTGACTCAGAGACTCTGGTGGCCCTGGTGGGTCTGCAGTGATGCATAATGTTCAATGGTGGGTCTTGTATCACATTAAAATGCTGTATTATACCTGTGGCTATTGGACATGATGCCTCATCCATTGACCCAATTAGAGAATTACATATGACGGGATTGCCTCCCAACAGTGAGGCTCTCTCGATAGCCAGTGTTAGTGTATAGTTTGTTAGTCCTCCACCCACTATTGCATTGTGAGACTGTACAGTGACTCAATCCGGTAGAGAAGTAGCTCCAACTACTCGTATCATGTTGGCACTAGTGACTTGTACTCTCACTCCAGAGGGTAGTGTTACTTCAGCAAGAGCCGCATTACTTTCAGTGACAGTACAAGTGAAGAGAAGAGGGTCAATTGGACACACCATCTGCCCAGCACATCTCGAGCCGTTGAAACTAGCCACTGCTGACACTTGAGCTTCAGCTGTTACTACTGTATACCATGGAGCAAGACGATAGCTGAAACAGTTCTGTATGATAGTGTAAGTATCATTTGAAGTAGAACTCACTGAAGAAAACGCTGATAGCGATGACCAACCACAGTAATGGTATCTCACGCATAGCTACATAAACGTAGCGGCAATCTTCGGGTGACGACGGACACGCCCTGCGTGCGTGCGCGGCGTCGATCAGTACAAAATGGCAGTAGAAGTGTAGTAGAATGCGCAGGTCGGCTGCCGGCAGTGCCGGGTCGACGCTCCCGATAGCAGACGAATGCAGTGCATACCTGATTCATGGATAGCAGAACACAAATTTTGTGGACAAAAATTTTGGGATGAGGATAAAACACACTATGCCTGTAAATTATTTCTCTGTTTACCTGGAGACTTCGATGCAAGTATAAAGTAGCTATCCGCTTGATATTATTTCTTGCCCATTGGTTGAGTAAATTGGTAATCAGGATGTGTTGATTTACTGAACATTTTGAAACTACATAAGTATAATACTGTAATGTTAAAAGACACAGTTGACCACCTCCCTCTACTACCTCTGAGAAGAGACCTGGCCATATGCCTGGTTCTCAGAGAGAGGAATGGCAGTCTCCACTGAATGAACTGGCTCCTCATAGATAGCTGCTACAAGCTCCTCTTTCTTCTTCTTCTTCCTCTCTCCTCTTTCTCCTCCTCTACGAATTGCAAACAATGTACCACAGGAACCAATGACCACACCCGCTGGTATGAGCACCAGTACAGAGATGGCAAGTGTTATAGCCACAGCAACTCCAGTTGATATACTCTCCTTCTCTTCTCTAGTGTCAGTACAAGTGCTTGTACTGGCAGTAGGCAGGTCTAGTAAGTAGGACTAATGGCAATTATTGTTACATTGTATCTATGGCTACATACCACCTTCAATGTTTAGCTGGGGAACTGTGAAACAGTATTCCTGGCCATCTGCCAGAGGAAGAGTAGTGACATTAATAGGCAGGATGACAGGGGTTCCAGGGAGGATGTTGGCTGTCACGTTCTGCTGAGGAAGAAACGTCTCTCCACTGTTCTCTCTCACTCCAAACGACAGCCCCACTGTGTAGGGGACACTGCGACAGAGAGGGTTCAGACTGACTATGACTGCAGGTCCTCCAGCTGGACTCTCTCCCTCCTCCACCTCCACTGGGGCAGCTAATAGAGAGACACCATTCATATCAAAACTTGTTCACAGAGTAAAGTTCTTCCTGAAGTTGCTAAACACACACTTAAATGCTGAAGCTCACAGTTAAAGATGATGGATACGGGTTGAGAAGGCCCGATATCGTTAGAGAGAGTGATAGAGATGTTGTAGTTGCTGCAGTCATTGGTAATGGTAGCAGTACAACTTATTATAGGCGTTGAAAGAAAAGAGCATATGGTCCCTCCTGGAGTCAGGTCCACAGTTGTCATCTCCTCTCCTGGATACACTACCCCCACCTCCCTCTCTCCCTCCTAGAATAACATTGCCAAAATGTTGTGTACATGTGTAGCTACGCAATCAACCACTAGCTGACCGTCCAATTGAGTACAACAGGTCTACCACCACTCAGAGGAACATCGTAGTACATGACAAGAGACTGTACTGTAGGCTGAGGTGGAACTGAAATAAACACCAGCATTGTCATCATACCAAATAAGTGCTTCTTATTATCTCTCATGAATTCCACAAACCTCTGGCCTCAATGAAGACAGTGATGGTGGCAGGCTGACTGGAGAGACCACAAGAGTTGATGGCAGTCACTGACACACTGTAGCTGGTGTTGAACTGGGTACAGTAATGTGCAGTGAAGACATCTCTACTATCATCATGGCTGACAGTCTGGGTCACCCCACCATCAACAGTCACTCTATATTCACTGATGGTCACTCCAGTGCCTCCTCCAGTCATGGCTGGAGACTCCCACTGCACCACTGCTGATATCTCAGTGTTGGCTGATACAACCTGACTCAGAGACTCTGGTGGACCTGGTGGGTCTGCAGTAATGTGTAATGTTCAATGGTGGATCTTGTATCACATTGAAATGCTGTAGCTATATACCTGTGGCTATTGGACATGACGCCTCATCTGTCAATGCTGGTGCAGTTGCAGCATCACATATGACGGGATTGCCACCCAACAGTGAGGCTCTCTCGATAGCCAGTGCTAGTGTGTAGTTTACTGGTCCATCACCTATTGCATTGTGAGACTGTTCAGTGACTCCATCTGGTAGAGAAGTAGCTCCAATTACTTGTGTCATGTTGGTAATAGTGAGTAGCACTCCCTCTCCAGAGGGTAGTATTACTCTGGCAGCAGGCGAAGGACTATCAGTGACAGTACAAGTGAAGAGAAGAGGGTCATTTGGACACACCATCTGCCCAGCACATCTCGGGTCATTGAAACTAGAAACTGCGGACACTTGAGCTTCAGCTGTTACAACTGTATTTTATTATTTCCCATGTGACATATGGAGCAAAACGATAGTCAGACAGTGTAAGTATCATATGAAGTAGAACTCACTGAAGACAACGCTGATAGCGATGCCCAACCACAGTAATGGTATCTCACGCATAGCTACATTCATTAAAGATAAAGGCCGTTGGTCGGACAAAATACAGAGCATAAATGTGAAACTCACCGTAAATCATAGCGGCGATGACAGTCACGCCCATCCCGCGTGCGCATCGTTTTACTAACCGGCGATTCCGCGCGAGCGTGCTTGGCTTGACGTTAGTCTCGCGGGGCCAGACGGTCCGGGGGTTCGCTTGCCCCCACGTAACGTCTGGCCACGCGACGTAAATGCATGGCTAGCAGGACACAGACTACACAAATGTTGTGGACAAAGGTTCAAAGGATCATTAGTTTCTCTGTTGACTAAGTACATAGGCCTCATTCTGCGAGAGAGGGATGACTGTTGCCATCCTATCTGGCTCTTCATAGATGTCTCCTCCATCCTCCTCTCCCTCTCTCCTTTTCATCTTCCTCCCTCCTCCAACACACCTCCTGACTGCCTGGGGCAGCAGCAAACCAATGACCACACCCACTGGTAGAGATACTAGTAGAGTGATGGTGAACGTAATGGCCACAACACCTCCAGTTGATAGAGTTCCACTACTGGCTTGTTCAGCTGTATAATAAAATATTCCATTTTTGCAATGAACTGTGAGAAATACAAGTGTTGCATGGACCACACAAGATATTTACCTCTGTTTCATCAGGCGTGGAAAGTTTAGTTAGTTAGCTACACTCACGAAATTGTTGGACAGAGAGAGTGAATGACCCCTGAACCCCACTGGCAGAGCAGACATACACACCGCTGTCCTCTACACTTGCCCCCGGGATTGTCAGTACACCTGGTACATGTGTAGGGTGGGGGAACATTAAACTAATGAGAGCTTGAAAGATTGGAATGCAGTTAGTTCACTACACAAGGAGAGCCTTGTTCAATGAGTCATAACTATAGAACTACATGACAAGACATACCAAAACACCTTTCCACAAATGGCACCTTACTAGTTCCTCCATCCTTCTCACCATCAGCCTGGGTGGATCCCTCGGGCAGTGGTCTGCCATCTTGTCTGGCCCAGGTAAAGGTCACGGGGTCATTGTCCACCTGGTCCAGGGAGCAGGTGAGGGTGACAGTATCACCAGACGTGGTGTCTCTAGTGTGTCGTCCACAGCTCCTCTCCTCCTCCTATCATCACCATACCTGGATGAGGGGGTGGGGGAGAATAAAACGCACATTGAATTCATTTCACTTACCAACAGTGCTAAACCTGGCGGCTGTCACTGAAATTCGATGGACCATTGAAGTTAACAGAAAGAATCCTGGCATCATATGTAGTGAGAGGCATCAGTCCAGCCTGGTTGTATGATTCAGATGTAATGCCTGGGATTCTTAGAATCGTCTCATTTTCACTGTCTAGCATACGTCTGATCTCCAGTGTGTACGTCTCACGATAACCACCTGCATCAAAGGGAAATCATGAAAGTCGCATTCCCAACCACTCTCTGTGTTCCGTCTCTGTACTATCGTCCTTCTTCTTCTCTGAACCCCACACACACACACACAGACCAGGGTCAGTCCAGGAGATTCTGGCGGAGGTGTTGGTGACCATGGAGATGGTGGGTGTGTCTGGGATCTGCGGAGGTCCCACAGGGAGAGTGGTGATGGTGATTTCCACTGGATCACTGGTCCTCTCTGGCCCTGTACTACCGTCTCTGTTGACAGCTGTGACTACTACCCTGTGAGGGACATGGGAGGGAGGGAGGGAGGGAGAGGAGAGAATGGAACTAAGGACGTTCTGACACAGTTTGCCCACGTGGAAAAACAGAATTGGGCAACGGTCCAGTAATTGAATCTGGTTGGTCAAAATATCTTCTTTCGTGCCTGCAAGCATACACATTTAGCCGCCTACCTTACAAGACCCAGTGCCACAGGGAGTCAAGCTGTACCAAGTACAAATTTTTTGCCACTCTCAAACTACTCGCCTTTAATCATTAAAACTCCACATGGAACGGGCGTGGCAGCATGTACTACAATCACCCAAAACTACACACAAGTGGCTAACGTTATTCATTACAGAGCATTACGCAACTCGTCATGCTGTAGCACTAGGTTGGAGGACTATGCTCACCTGTAACCAGTGTCCTGTTGGAGGCCGCTGAAAGTGAACTCGAGGTTGGAGTTAGCCAACACTGTTTCTTCCCTCCTATCATCGGGTCCTCCACCAATCTCAGTGAGAGTCAAATCATACCTCACAATGGGTCGACCTGTGCAAGGTGGGGGAGATAAGAAACAGCTCTATTAAACAACAATAAAATAAACAGCAATTACAACAATAGTATATATGGAAATCTCAGAAAATCCTTTGTTGCCACTTCCTTCTTTCTAAGTAAAGTGCGAGTTATTACTCCCCACATGCAGGTGCAGTGCTAGGCTCTTTGTTACTGGTCATCAGGGGAGTTCCCAATCTTTCACCATGTCACATGTGTTTCGGCCTCTTTAAACTCCCGACACGTGAGACACTCCAGAAAGGGCGGGGCCACGTGTGTTATGAGATGCGAAAGAGAGAGAGAAGAGGTGGGAGAGGGAAGAGGAGGAGAGAGGCTTGGTACACGATGTATATACCTCCATCGGTCTCAGGTTGTTCCCAGAAGACAGAGATGATGAAGGGATTATCACTGGTTCCATTCAAGTTCTGTGGAACACTGGGAGCTGAGGTGAGAGAGAGAGGAGGGGGGAGTGTGAATTTGAAAGCAGAAATGGAAGAGGAAAATACACAACTACAGGAACCGGTAAACTTGAAGCAAGGATACCACATCATTCTCTAAACCAGGACATCATGGTACCAACACCCCATCCTCTTGTCAGGACACCTTTCAGCAAACTAGGATGCTTTAGGACTAACCAGGACAGCTTAAAACATCCAACAATCAGGACACTCTCAAATCAATGAGGACACCTATCTTTTATCAGGACACACATCAGGACACCAGTCAACCACAACACCTCTTGTCATTCAAACCAATCAGGACATCAGCTCACGGTCAATGTTAGTTGCCACGTTGTCACTATCCGATGCTCCAGGTCCAGCAGAGTTGAGGCCCACCACAGTAATGGAGTAGTCAGTACCCATATCTAGACCGGTCAGAACCACCGAGGTCTCACTGGCAGTGACGGTGATAGTGTCGGTCCTACTCGGGGAGGAAAACGTGATGAGGTACATCTCCACTGGAGCCGTTGTATCAGGTTCAATAGTAGGCTCCTGCAGTAGAGACAGACGATATAAGGGCGAGCGACATTCAACTGCTGAAGTGTACACGTAGCACTGTGCTCTGATATTTGGCATCGCAAAAACCAAACTTTCATGCAACCTCACTTGACAAACGCACACACTTTGAAAGGATGCACCCTTCATGAGAACATGAAACTAAATAAGCAGTATATATACAAGTCCTACAACCTCTGTGTGTATAGTAAGACCCCCACTCTTGCGTAGGACTGTGTAGTGGGTCTTACCGTCCATGTCACACTGATGGCTGTGGAGTTGACTGCCACTGCATTTAGGGCTCTGACTTTATCAAGAACTGTCGGGAGTGAAGAAAATAAACACCGCCATCATCGCAACAGTATTCTATCACGGCTAAATTACGAACTCATAACTGGCAAGTGAAGTAAACCTGTGGGGTGGTCTGAATTGCTAATGCACACTGTCACACAACACAATACACAACCACCTTCACAGATAGCACAGTTAAAAGGTCTCGCTATTTAAAATTGCTTGTGTTTGCTATGTTAGAAAAATGCATTGGTCTCTGAACGAACATTCGAGAAGTGAGATGTAGAGTAACATACACACACACACAGACCCACAGTATCACTGCGCATGCGCGCCGAGGGTTAAAAATGCATTGGTCTCCGAACTGCCATACTGCATGTACTAGACAGTGAACTAGAGCAGTTGTGTCTTACGTAGTGAGTCGGTCATCCCAGTTGTGACGGCTGCCTCTCCCTCAAGTTCCACTTCATTCCTCACGGAGAGCCGGATGGTGTAGGCAGTGAACGGACGAAGGTTGTCGAGGTTTGCCGTCATTGTCATAGCGTCGCCAGGAATGTCACGGACAATGTCGGGGTGTCTGCTGGTGAGGTTGACAGTGAAGCCATCTATGGGACTGAATCCATTGAAGACTGGGTTGGTCCAGGAGATACTGAGAGATATAGTCGTCTGTGAATCTGCCACTATATCAAGACCAGTGGGTGGACCAGGGGGCACTGGAGAGAGAGAGAGGAGAGAGAGAGGATACCAATAATCAGACTGATGTGTTTGTAGTAGGATCTTATTGAAAAACTGAAACTGAAAGAGAGAGAGAGAGAGAGAGAGAGGAGAGAGAGGAGAGAGAGAGAGAGGAGAGAGAGAGGATGAAAAGAGGCAAAGAGAGTATAATGTGTGGAACCACTTCCAGCCTTGCTTACCTCCTGAATATCAATTCACAATTAAGCCGGTACATGCTTATACCAATGATCAGACTGATGCGTTGGTATATAGTAGGATCATATTGAAAAACTGAAACTGAAGGCCTGATTTCACAAGTGTACGGGCATGATGCTGGATAACCTGTGCCATTGAATGTTACAACATGAACATGTTACTGAGGCACATGTGTATATATACATTCTCAGGAGAGCCTTGTTACTTACGTTGAATCCTAACTTCAGTGGTGGCAGAGTTATTGCCCAAAATATTCTGGGGTACACACACGTACATCCCTCCTTCTTCCTCCGTCACCTCCGTGATGGTGAGAGTGGTTCCAGTGTCATTGAAACTGACTGATATTCGAGAGTCGGCTGCAGGGACTAAGGTGGTGCCATTGTGTATCCACGTGATGGTGTCAGGAGGAGGGATGCCGAGGTAGGTACAGGAGATCCGGAGTGTCCCTATCCCTACTGGAACTAGCACCAGGTCTTGTCTGTTTGCTGTCACGTCAGGAGCAACTGTATGATTGTGGTGGAACAATCTAAAAAAGGTCTTCATTTGATTTTGTGGGGGGAAATTTCGTAGCTTGGTGCATAGCTAACTATATACTACACACACACTCACATTGTACGACTACTGTCACAGTTGTGCTGGTAGAGTTGTCAAGGTTTGGAGGAGAGGTTCGACAGGTATAGCTCCCAGCCTTAGACCTCATGATGTTGGGGATATTCAGTACTCCAGATGAAGACGCAATCTGGTCATCTTCGTCGAACCACTGTGCAAGTGGTTCTCGGTTGGAGTTTGTGCTGTCACAGGAGAGGGACAGTGTGCCTCCCTCATTGACTGTAGTTGCTCCCGTGATTATCGGAGGTAGATACACTGTACAATACAATACCATTTAAACATAACACTTACACAAACATGGGAGACATACCGTCCAAGTAAACTGAAGCCTGTCTTACATTCGAGCCACTAACACACCGCAAAGTCAGGACAGGAGATGCCTGGAATGTCATGCTAGTATCATCAACCACCAGAACTCCATTATCCACCACTCCCTGGATTGGTGAGTTTCCAATTAGGAAAGTGGTGGTGGCTGTGTCTACTGCTCCATTGACAACACACTGGACACAGACAGTTCCTAGTGGAATATCTATCTGGTTGGGAGCTGACACTGTACCAACAATCTGCACCGTGGCTATACAGTCATCCACACTCTGAGAGAGAGCTGAAAAAAATCTCAATTTTATAGGTACTATAGCTACTACTTTGTGGGGTTCAGTGGCGCCTGATAATCGAGGCTCGCGATTGCCGACAGTTCGACCACCGCATCTCTCAACTCACCGCTGCTAAAAAGCGAAACATCCCGCAGCGAAGAATAGAAGTGGAAAATGCATTATTTGTCACAGTTTTTCTTCCTCCCCGTAGAAACCGAACCGAATATGGTATTCAGTGCCTATAGCTGCGCGTCCGTACGGGCAGGTAATGCATCATTACAGCCCCCAGCAATGATCTACTGTTAATTTTAGAGAGTGAGCTAGGTTTGAATTGACCAATCAGATTGCAAAGGCGAGGTACTAAATCCCGTAGTAAACCTCGACGGGGGGTTTACTACACAGTAAACCTACAGAAAAACTACAAAACCTACAGTTAAAACAGGAAAGCATAATAAAATGTACATGTAAACAACAAAATCACTGAATCTACATTGACGCTCAAAGGTTGACGCGTCGTCCACGCGCACGCGCAGACCCCACTGCGCGCAGAACCGTCACGCGCGCGCACAACCAGAAAAAGAAGGCGGAGCCGCGTGTCCTCGGCCGCTTTGCTCCGCATTTTCTGGCGCTCTGAGCCAGTCTCCAGCCAGTCATCGCTATAAGCGCTCCGCCATACGAACGAACAGGAAAGCCAGAGCGCTCAACGTGAAGCGCTCACTCTAAAAGAGTCTCCTGTAAATCATAGCGGCGATGACAGACACGCCCATCTACGAACGACGCGTGCGCATCGTTTTACTAACGGCGTGATGCGGCGATTCCGCGCTGGCATGCTTGGCTTGACGTTAGTCTCGCGGGGCCAGACGTCCGGGGGTTCGCTTGCCCACGCGAGACTAGCTTGACGTAAATGCATGGCTAGCAGAACACAGACTACACAAATGTTGTGGACAAAGGTTCAAACTCTGCAAAGGATCATTAGTTACTCTGTTGACTCAGAACATAGGCCTCATTCTGTGAGAGAGGGATGACTGTTGCCATCCTATCTGGGTCTTCATAGATGTCTCCTCCATCCTCCTCTCCCTCTCTCCTTTTCATCTTCCTCACTCCTCCAACACACCTCCTGACTGCCTGGGGCAGCAGCAAACCAATGACCACACCCACTGGTAGAGACACCAGTAGAGTGATGGTGAACGTGATGGCCACAGCACCTCCAGTTGATAGAGTTCCACTACTGGCTTGTTCAGCTGTATAATAAAATATTAAATTTTTGCAATGAACTGCGAGAAATATAAGTGTTGCGTGGACCACACAAGATATTTACCTCTGTTTCATCAGGCGTGGAAAGTTTAGTTAGTTAGCTACACTCACGATATTGTAGGACAGAGAGAGTGAATGACCCCTGAACCCCACTGGCAGAGCAGACATACACACCACTGTCCTCTACTCTTGCCCCCGGGATTGTCAGAACACCTGGTACATGTATGGTGGGGAAACATTAAACTAATGAGAGCTTGAATGCAGTTAGTTCACTACACAAGGAGAGCCTTGTTCAATGAGTCATAACTAGCATGACAAGACATACCCAAACACCTTTCCACAAATGGCACCTTACTAGTTCCCTCCATTCTTCTCACCATCAGCCTGAGTGGACCCCTCAGGCAGTGGTTGGCCGTCTTGTCTGGCCCAGGTAAAGGTCTCGGGGTCATTGTCCACCTGGTCCAGGGAGCAGGTGAGGGTGACAGTATCACCAGATGTGGTCTCTAGTGTATTGGTCACAGATCCCTCTCCTCCTCCTACCATCACCATACCTGGATGAGGGGGTGGGGGAGAATAGAACACACATTGAATGCATTTCACTTACCAACAGTGCTAAACCTGATGGCATCACTGAAATTCGATGGACCGTTGAAGTTAACAGAAAGAAGCCTGGCATCATATGTAGTGAGAGGCATCAGTCCAGTCTGGTTGTATGATTCAGATGTAATGCCTGGAATTCTTAGAATTGTCTCATTTCCACAGTCTAGAATACGTCTGATCTCCAGTGTGTACGTCTCACGATAACCACCTGCATCATAAGGGAAATCATGAAAGTCACATTCCCAACCACTCTCTGTGTCACGTCTCCATATTATCGTCCTTCTTCTCTTTCTAAACCTTCACACACACACACACACACATGTACACACCAGGGTCAGTCCAGGAGAGTCTAGCGGAGGTGTTGGTGATCATGGAGATGGTGGGTTTGTCTGGGATCTGAGGAGGTCCCACAGCGAGAGTGGTGATACTGATTTCCACTGGATCACTGGTCATCTCTGGCCCTGTACTACCATCTCTGTTGGTAGCTGTGACTACTACCCTGTGAGGGACACGGGAGGGATGGAGGGAGAGGAGAGAATGTTGGGGAGGGAGGGAGGGAGGGAGAGGAGAGAATGGAACTAAGGACGTTCTGACACAGTTTTCCCACGTGGAAACAGAATTGGGCAACGGTTCAGTAATAAAATCTGGTTGGTCAAAAAATATCTTTAAACTCGCCATCTTTCCGTGCCTGCAAGCATACACATTTAGCCACCTACCTTACAAGACCCAGCACCACAGGGAGCCACAAGGGCAAAGCCCTACCATGTAAAGTCTCTCACACTCTTGAACTACTCGCCTTTAATCTCTTTCCCACGTTGGAACATGCATGACAGGAAATGTCTGTCCGAAACTACACACACGTGGCAAATATACGCAATATGTGGACAGTTTGAGTAGTAGTGCTTTAGTTGGAGGGTTACGCTCACCTGTAACCAGTGTCCTGTTGGAGGCCGCTGAAAGTGAACTCGAGGTTGGAGTTAGCCAACACTGACTGTTCCCTCACATCATTGGGTCCCCCACCAATCTCAGTGAGAGTCAAATCGTAC